GAGCTCAGCCTGGAAGACTCGTGTGCTCATCACATTGTGCAGGTCAGTTTATAACATGAAATGACTCCCAAACAACAATTGAATCCATTTGACTTTGCCCATCAGGAAAACGGAATCTATATCCTCGCCAAATTGATTTTACCACAAAACTCCGGACCCAAGGTGTCATCTTTGCAGGTATGACGTTTTGTAGATGCGATATATAAGTTAAGATGATACACGTTGTGTGGTAACATGAGCCCAATGCGTTGGCAGTGTTACGCATTCCGGGCACTGCGCTTTCTCTTCAGCGTGGAGAGGAACAGACATCGCTTCAAGAGGTATTCATGACATCATGCCAGCCAACATGAGGGGTGTGTTAAGTCACTTGTTTTATTCTCCTTCCAGGCTCTTTCCCACGGACCTTTATGAATCATTTATTGACGTGGGCCATTACATGCGGGACCTGGAGGCCTATGAGGGTCTTCAAATCAAAGTGTCACAGTATTCTGTGAGAAATTAACACAAACCCGTCCAATTATTAAAGAGTTCTCTTGTCTTATTGAATGATATTTTTGGGGGCTGTCTTACAGGAGGAAGAGTTGGAGAGCCTGCGAGAGAGCATCATGGCTGTGGACCACAACCGGCCTGTGCTCCGGCTGATCAATGGCTACGCTGTACTGGACCACCTTGGCACTGGTGCCTTTGGGAGCGTATTGAAGGTGCAAGCTGGTCAGCATGCGGTGTCAGTCCAGAGTTGTCTTTCGAGCTGGCAGTAAATGAGTACAGATTCTCGATTGGGTTGTGGTCAGGAAATAATTTCTCCCTATAAACCCCGTAACACAGGATGCCGCATACAAGCACTTGTGACACCACAACTGTACAATTGCTTTACGGTCACTTAAAACAGAACAATCAAAATAATTGGGGGTAATTAGCCGCATGTTGCCTTCTTAAATCTCAAGACATTATCTGAGTTCTGCGACACTGTTGAGGGTTCCAGGTCCAGAAGCCGAGCGCTGGGAATATGGTGGCCCTGAAAGAGGTCAACCTCCGCAACCCGGCGTTCGGCAAAGACAAGAAGTCGCGAGACGGTAACGTGGAGAAGATCATCGCGGAGTTGACCATCATCAAAGAACAGGCCAGAGCTTTTTTTTTTGGTTGTTGTTGTTTTATTCAAACCAAATAAGGACTTCGTTCCTCCTCTTCATGCGTCTGTGTAAAATTATCCCCCACCAAGGAAATTTAGAATAGATAAAAATGTGTGATTAA